CTTGAAAGACCATATCAGTGTCACCGGGCGAGTAGGTGAGCTCACGGGGCTTAAACCTGACGTTGTTGCTAACACGAACCCAAGCAACAGCCGTGCTTCACAGAATCTATCTATCTAATCACTCAGAAGATCCGGCGAGAAACTCAGTGGGCTGTGTCTGTGGGTTAATTTACTCGCCGAGCCCTTCGTCGCAAGCGACGGGTTCGACGAGAACGATGACCGGTGCTTGGGGTACCTAAAAGCACCGTTAGGGGATCGGGAGGATCCGAAATGACCTTTGGGCGTGCGAAATAAGAACGCTGGTAACTGTTAGACAACGGACAATGTACGCGATCTGTTTATTTATTTAATGCACAAATTGATAAACCTTTTCATGTCCCCTTGATGTCAACCGGAGCTCATAGACTTGAGACATGAATTCTAAGCCTCAATTGTATAGCGTGACCTATTGTCTCGCCCTTCAAACGCAAATTTGCGATAAGAATAGATGGAGCGGTAGTAACAGCTCGTGTGTGCTTACAAAACTCCCTAACACCTTTAAAAACATACCTTACGAAGATAACTGGACCGATATCGAATTACGTGGACTTAAATCTATTCCAAGCTGTTGTGTGTCTGTGACTGTGATTCGTGAATACGATTAAACGGCCATGTTATACCTTTTCCGTATACCGTAGGGTAGGGTATACCGTTGGGTATACCTTTCAACCTGGTACTTTCTTGTGAGCACTTAGTGCTCCTGTATATAGGGTATACCTTCCAGCCTGGTACTTACTTGTGCTCACAAGCACTTAGTGCTCACAAGACGCCCTACCACCACCAGTAGCAGAATGATTTCCTAGACTGAACCTTCTAGATATAAAAATCAGAGGTATCTAATACTGTATTCGTTAACTTTAGATACCCAAACACGGCGAAATTAGTCTATCTCCTACAAGAGCCAGATTGAAACGCCTATCGTTAGTTGCAGCTGACTTGAAGTGCGAGGTTCTTGTAAACTTGGTCGGTTGGCTTTGGATTTCTTAAGTCCTTTGACGAAACTTTGTCTCTTTGAAAGACCCAAGAAACATTTCTTTGGAATGTGACTGAGGGTTCGTTATTAAATACTGTGGTTAGTTTATGTTCCGTATTAAGTTGGTAAATATCTATTTCGACTTTGGGGTAATGTAGATTGTGCAAGTTAATTTCAATTTCACTACCGTAGGTAGACTGATAGTTCAGATGTTGGCATACGAGGTCCAATATATGGATTTCGAAGACTGGAAGATGATTCGGCGTAAATAGCCATGGGAATTTTTCATTCTCCTCAATTCACACTCTTATAACTTCTTCCTAGAAACGACTTTTAGAGATGTGACGAGCCTTTTTTTTTTTATTGCCCTTGTAGGCAGACGAGCATACGGCCCACCTGATGGTGAGTGGTTACCGTCGCCCATGGACTTCAGCAATGCCAGGGGCAGAGCCAAGCCGCTGCCTAACGCTTAATACTCTCCACAAGCCTCGTTTGAAGAAGGACATGTCATAGCGCTCGGGAGACACCGTGGAGGGGAGCTCATTCAATAGCCGGATGGTACGTGGCAAAAAAGATCTCTGGAAACGCACTGTGGATGACCGCAGTGGCTCCAGGTAGTATGGATGAACTCTACTCCGGTGGCGGGCTATTTTAAATTTCTTTTCATTCAGGATGTTCATTGTGTGCGAAAATATGAGCGCTTTCTTATTCTATTAAAGTCTAAATCTAACAGAAGGTATAGAAAAAAAGTACAAAAACCTTTAAGAATAACATTTCGTTTCGCCATGCCTATGTTACAACAAAAATATTCCACTACACTAAGGTATTGTGACTGCTCGTAAATTCTACTTGATTGATGATCGCTGTGTTTCCTTCTGCGTGTCTTAATAACTAATAGAGGTGGCCTATATTCGTTTTAATCTAAAATATTAGCGAAATGATAATAATATATGCCCTCAAACAACAAAAGGATTGTCGCGTCATGTTAATATCTGCGAAGTGATCAGAGCGTTCAGTTCGAAGGGGCGATCGCTAATTTAAAGAAAATAGTGGTCAGTAGTCGAAATTCGACTATAATTAATTGAAATTATAAGTTTGAACATTATTATGGTTCTATTGTGAAAGACTATTATACTTCTATAATCACAGATTTCGCCAAAACTACACTATGGACAAATAATAAACAATATTAACCTATTCTCAACTTGACCACAGACTGCAATAATAGACAATAAAAAGCTTAGAGCAATAATAGTTTGACAATAAACAGAATTTATATATGTGTGTGTGTCAAATACATGGTGGTGTGTAAGATGTTTTTTTTTATTGATTTCATGTATTATTAATGCATTATTTTTAAAAAATATTAGCATTGTGCACTTCTTCTCTATATCCTCTATAAGTGTCGAAAATATCACACTCCTCCGTCTGCGCAATTTTCGTAAAAAGGGATACAAAGTTTTTGCTTCACGTATGAATATATAGATAGCTTATCAAGCTTATTGCGTTATGAAATGGATTAACTGGCTTATAACTTTAAAGACACAATAGTTGACAAATACATACAAGAGATTGAAAAATTTTCCACACTTATAGAGAATATAGAGAAGAAGTGCACAATGCTAATTTTTTTTTTAAATAATGCATAAAAGGTACATTAAGTCAATAAAGAAAACATTACACACACTACATACCATATATTTGACGTACACACGCATGCATACTATTTATTTATTGTCAAACTTTTGTTCTTGACGTCTGTGTTCAAATTGAGAATAGATTAAATATTGTTTGTCTTAATTAATATTTTTCTGTAGTGTAGTCTTGGCGAAATTTGTGATCATAGAAGTATAATTCTTTGAAAATAGAATCATAATAGTGTCGAATCATAATGTACAGACTTACAATTCCAATTAATTATAGTCGAATTTCGACTACTGCGGGACCTCTAGTTTATATAATTACATTGAAACAAACAATACAAAGCATAATATTTATTATTATTAACAACTACATTTTTGTCTAAAATAATAATAATAATAATAATAAATCGTGAAATAAATTTTACATACAAAACCTTAAAAGACGCACAACATATTAACGGAACGCAATAACGTACATAACGAGAAAATATCATAACTAACAACTAATTAATCCATTAAACAATTATTTATTTTCAATAAACACTTGCTCTGACATCAATCAATCAAAAAGTGGATGTTACAAATAACGCGTGCTTAAATTATATATCAGTACGAACTAGTAATGCTACAGATATATTATATACATATGTATTTTTTTACCAGAAAACAAAGAGAATTAACAAAGTCTCAGTCGAAATACAATTTAAAAACATTACTTTAAACATAATTAATATTACTGGTGGTAGGACCTCTTGTGAGTCCGCACGGGTAGGTACCACTGCCCCGCCTATTTCTGCCGTGAAGCAGTAATGCGTTTCGGTTTGAAGGGTGGGGCAGCCGTTGTGACTATACTGAGAACTTAGAACTTTATCTCAAGGTGTGTGGCGCATTTACGTTGTAGATGTCTATGGGCTCCAGTAACCAGTTAACACCAGGTGGGCTGTGAGCTCGTCGACACATCAAAGCAATAAAAAAATAAAATAAAAAAAACGGTACTTTTAATCTCGCATTTTTTATTCCCGCATTTTATTTATTATATATTATTATTACCAACCTTTTAGATACTTCATTTTATTATACTTTCGGTTACGAACGTTATTAACTAAGGCGTTATTCGTTGACATTTCAATATTGTGCAAACGAAAATGATGATAGTAAAAAACGTAAAATAAAACAATCAAAATAAATTTTAATTACGTCTATGACTGGCGGAAACCGAAGAAAATACTGCCTTAAGCGTATTTTAAAACCAACTTCATATTATTAATTTATTTTAGCTAGCATTTCGCTTAATGTAAAATCTATATCTATACTAATATTATAAAGAGGAAAGATTTGTTTGTTTGTTTGTTTCGAATAGGCTCCGAAACTGCTGGACCGATTTGAAAAATTCTTTTTTCATTAGAAGCCGACATTGTGCCTGATGAACATAGGCTACTTTTTTTATTTTATTTTTTATTTTATTTTTTGTTTCATGTGTGTTTTAATGTTTCCGAAGCGAAGCGAGGGCGGGTCGCTAGTTTTCTATAAAGGTAATTCACCCAAAATAATTAGTACAGGGAAGCATTGATGGTACAAGACCGCGCGGGAGGCCACCAATGCGGTGGACCGACCAAATTAAAACTGCAGTGGGAGGTTCCCTAAATGAGTGCAGTAGAATGGCCTCGAGCAGGGAGAGATGGCGCGACATCGTGAGACGCATCAAGTCTGCCCCTTCGAACACTACATGACGATCACGACCACTCTGTCAAGAGTGACACGATTGAGAAGAAGAAGAATATATTGAGTAGAAGAATCTGTAAATTGTTTTTTTTTTTCAAAGAGAATGTCGTCACTTTCTATTATCACACAATTTACACAATATTTTACGGACTATTACGATGTTTTTGTCGATTCCTTTGATATAGCACTTTTGTTATATATTTGGCCAAATGCAGCAATATCATCACTAACATAAGCTACCATAGCAACCACAGAGCCCATTATCGGGTCTCGTATTAATTCAGGTAAATATTTTTATTGTTTTTTAAAAACATTAACCATCAAACTAACTACCCAAAAAATGTTCTGTCGGAATAAAAGTAATTACCAAGTTCAAAAAATACGCATCGTGTTGTTGTAGTTCCTTGGTCGTATATCGATACACTGTTTGAATTATTCACGAATTCTTCGATTGAAACTTAAAGAACTACCCGTGAAAAGAAACAGAATTTTTTTAAACAAATATAATAAAACACTTGCAATTGTAGGTAAATAGATAATAACATAATAGATAATGTAGATATAAAAAATATAATAACATATAGATAACATAACATAGATAATAAAAATACATATTATGGATTTAACTGTTATTTGACAAACACAAAAATAATAAATCTGGACAAGTGTTCGTTGAGCTATTATCAGCTATGCTCTGTTATATGTTATTTAATAGTTGCAATTACTTAATTTTAATTGTCACTCTGATATTCAGAACCGTTCATTTCCAATTCAGATTCATTTATATTAATTGGGTTTATAAATCTATTTAAATTTACCGAATATACTTTTTTTCTCTTTATAAAGAGGAAAACAACTACCAGCACTAACAAAGTGGTTAAAATGCAGCACCATATCAAAACTATCGAGGATGTTGACGATAACGATTCTGTTGTCTGCTGGACTGTAACAACAGTAGTGCCAACAGTTGTTGACAACAAATAATCACCGCACAAAATGCCGTGCACATTATCCTCGTGATAAATCTTATCTAAGGATGTTACCTCGACCCGTTTATTCCTGCCGGCATATACATTTAGGTTCACCTCTCGGCACGAAATAGGATTTCCACCCAAACTCAAAGTTTTTAAATTCAACAAATAATTTTCCAATAATTCTTGGACATTAAAAGTCTTTATTTGGTTATAGTCTAGAATCAGAGACTCCAACTTGAGACATTCATGAAATACATCAACGCTCAGGTTTCTAATCATGTTCCTTGATAAATCCAACAATTCTGTTTTATGGAGTCCTTTGAGACTACCATAGCGTAATTCGGTTAAATAGTTCGATGATAAATTAAGCAGTTTCAAGTTCTTCATGCTCTGAAACGTGCCAGGCTTCACCGTCGATATCTTATTGTTACTCAAATCAACCGCCTTTAAATATTCCGAATTCTGGAACATTGCACTATCTATTGAAGTTAGGTTATTATCGCTCAAGTTGACGTTTAGAAGCGCTTTGAAATACGTCAGTAGCACGTTTGTCAACCTGTTCGAACTCAAATCTAAATCGACCAATGTTGTCAGTGAATTCGTATACTCGTTATTAAATGAAACTAATTGATTGTGTGCGAGACGTAATACTGATATGTTTGGAAATTTTTCATTATTCACCCCTGTCAAGTCGGAAATATTGTTAAAAGACATATCTAAATAGTGAACCGATCGTCCAGAATTACCGGGGAATATTTCGGAGATATTCGTGAGATTGTTGTTGTTCAAAAAGAATGCTAATAAATTTGTCAATTTAGTGCCATTTAATACTAGGGTATTGAGACAGTTGCTAGATATATCCAAACTATACAAATTTTCCATACCCCGAAAATTGTTTGGCTTGAAACTGTCAATCTGATTGTGAGATAAGTTCAATCTTGCTAGAACGGGGAGATCAACAAAAGCCATATCGTCTACTGTGGTTATGTTAAAATTGCTTAAATTCAAAAATCTTAAATACTTAGCTCCACTAAAAGTATTATTTTTTATGACGCCACTAATGAAATTTCCCGACAGTAATAAGTACTGAATTTTTTTCAATGGTAAAGAATATTGTTCTATTTGTATAATTTTGTTGTCGGACAAATCTAAAGTTATAAGCGTTATTTGGTTTTGGAAAGCATTCTTTTTAACAATGCGGATGCCATTATTTTTCAGATATAGCTCAGTTAAGTTGGACAGGCTGTCGTTGAGAAAATCTAAGCTAGATATGTTGTTATAAGATAAATCTAGAACATTCAACGCATTCCCAAAACTCTTTTGTTCAACTAAACTAATTCTGTTATGACTCACGTTTAGAGAAAACAGTAAATACATCTTTGAAAATGAATATTTGTTGATAGCAGTTATGTTCTGTCTGGATAAATCTAGAGATTTCGTAATGATGTTTTGTAAGCCAGTGAACATGTTCTGACCAATCTCACCGGTAATATTATTTTTCTCCAAATTCAAGTACACAAGCGAGCTATTCGCAAACGTATTATCTTGAATTGTAGAAATGTAGTTATTGTACAGATTTAAGAACACAAGCCTTTTGTTGTTCGTGAACATGGTGTTTTCGATTGTGGACCTTATTTTGTTATGACTTAAATCGATTATCTTTATGTTATATTCGTTACTGAAACAATCAAAGTCTAGTGTACTCAATTCGTTATGAGATAAGTTTAAATTTACCAAAGAATTCAGTCTGTTAATTTCGAAGCCGCTCAGATGAGTCATAACATTATGTGACAAATCCAGGTCAGTCAGCGCTTTTAAATGTATGAGAGTCATGTTAAGTGAACTAATTAGATTATTTTCCAAATGCAAAATCACAACGTTTTTTGTATACAAAAAGGCGCTGTCATCGATAAAATGTATCAAATTGCTCTGTAAATATAAATACTTCAAATTGATCAATGGATAGAATATGTGCTCATACAAATTAGTTAGACTATTATTCGATAAATCTAACGTTTCCAGAACATTCCCCGCGTCCGATACTTTAAAGCCTCTGTTCTCTATCACGGATATACAGTTCGATGATAAATTAAGGTACCTTAGTCTAGGTAGATTGGCAAAGGCATCAGACTTGATTTCTTTTATATTATTCCCGGCGAAGTCCACGTGGAATACGTTCAAGAAGTATTTGAAAGCATTCGTGAACAAAACGCTCCACGTACTGTTGGTAACCTTAAAATAGCGTAGTCTCTCATCGAAGTTAGTAGCTCCGAAGTAGTTTAAATTCACCAGAGGAGTATTTGCGCCGGTTATAACGAAGGTGATATTTTGTTCGCCCCGGCATAGAGGTACGGACGCACGGCCGGCGTGATGATGACATACAATAGTGTACTGACAATTCGAAACGATATCCACTAGCTCGCAGTTCGTCATTACAGTCGTAACAAACAACGACAGGGGGACTATAACATCTGAAAGAAAAGAATAATCAGTTCAAAAGCGCATTCAGTAGATCTAATTTTTAGGATCAAAAAAACTAATGAGCCAGCTTGTGGTAAATTATCAGTGAATACGTATGCTGCAAATCTATACTAATATTATAAAGAGGAAAGATTTGTTTGTTTGTTTGTATTGAATAGGTTCCGAAACTACTGAACCGATTTGAAAAATTCTTTTACTGTTTGGAAGCTACACTATTCCCGAGTGACATAGGCTATAATCTTTTTTAAAAAAAAAATAGGGATCCTTACTAAAACTCCAACAATGTAACCCAAGGTGTAAAAAAATACCTAGCTATTATAGTTATGCCGCAATAAGTGTTCTTTTATTTAAAACATAAAACAACGTCAAAAATCGTTGAAATTTTTGTTAAAGACCCGAGCGGAGCCGGAGCGGACCGCTCGTAAAATATAATTTTAACGTAATAATCGAAAACTGACCGTAATGATGATCACAAACACAGAAGCTATGCCTAAATATACAAAACGAAGTAATGGTATATGATAGAGGAGTATGGAAGGAGAAAATATGTTGCGCCGACCCCAAGTGACTAAGAGAAGGCCAGGAGAATGATGATGATGATGATGAATAATGATCAATTTCTTTATAATTGCCCTTGTAGCTAGGCATACAGCCCAATCAATGCTAAGTGGTTACCGTTGCGCATGCACGTCAGCAATGCCAGTGGCACATGTCTACCGCAAACAATTCACAATTATTCCCTCCAAGGCTTGCGTTACGTGCGTTTATTTTTAAACATTGATAAGATACAAAATGGACACCACGCCCTGACTCATAAGGCCAAAGTCCAAATATTTCATACCCACGAGCGTGGGTCGGCTTTTAAAATGTTTTACTGAAAAAAATCCACAAATTAACCGCTTATTTCTTTGGAAGCTGATTTAATTGGAACAAATGACAGAGTTTCGGCTCAAGGCTTCGGCTTTTGGCTTTTGCCGCAGTAAATCACGGGAGACCACTTTAAACCGCTTCAACGTTTGTTGTGCTAATCTCCATTTACAAGCTCGCAAATAAAAATACTGAATTATTATGTACTTTGAAGGTGGTATACGTTGTTTGGTATTTCTGCTATTATGCGTTTGGACGTTATACAATGAATTGGAGGCTTCAACGATGACCTTGAGATTTTTTTTTTATGATTGATGGGTTACTTGTTTAATTGGGTTACCCCTAAAAGGGAAGATATATAAGACGTTAACAAGGCCTGCCGTCTTGTATGGATCAGCTTGTTGGACAACAAAAGTGGCGGATGAAAGGCGATTGCATGCAGCAGAGATGCGAATGTTGCGATGGATGTGTGGAGTAACGAGAATGGATAGAAAACGGAATGAATATGTTAGAGGAAGTCTGACAGTGGCACCTGTGACAGAGAAGCTGAGAAGTGCGCGTTTGGGATGGAACGGACATGTAATGAGACAAAATGAAAATGAGGTTGGTAAGAAAATGTTAAATATTAATGTGGAAGGATATAGAGGAAGAGGTAGACCTAAGAAGAAATGGATGGATTGCGTGAAAGACGATATGGGTAAGAGGGGAGTGAGCGAAGAAATGGTGTGTATAATAGAAGAGTATGAAAGGAGAAAACATGTTGGGGGAGTAGTTAGCGGGGTTCCTAAGCCTGCTCCTAGTGTTAGAGGTAAAGGCATCTAATGCAAAGATCTGATGGACCTTATGATATTCATGAGTTCAAACGCTTCATGTGGATAATGGACTTCGAGCTCGTCTATCGGTACGCAGTATTACGAAAAAAGTCTAGATGTAACGACAATACAAAAAAATAAAATTAACCTATTAAGATTTGCAAAACAGTTTAATTAGAATTTAGGGGCAATTACTGAACAGCGCCGTTTGTCTTAGCCTTTTAATTTTTGCTCATTTGGTCTAATTCTTAGGGATACTTTAAGGATAAGGACTCTGATAACCACTCAGTACCAGATGGGCCTTGAACTTGTACGTCCAATGGAACATTCAACCCAACAAATTGATTTAAAAAAAATTCAAAATACACTCAAAAATTAACTACAGATGATTAGATATGTATCTCAGTTTACTTACATTGTAAATGAAAGCGTATACTGCATAAATTCATTTTTTTTTTAAATTAAAACAATGAAATTAATATTCACTGAAATTCACTTAAAGGTACCAATTTATTTATATTATTAAAGTAATTATGTTATCACACGAAACGACACAGCGTTTATGAACAATAAATGAATTGTTTTGTTTGGTTCAAGTCAAAGAACAAAATTCGTGGAGTAGACATGGTTTTTTTTATTTTTTATCGCAGTTTAAATATTTTATTTATTTATCATTGAGGTAGCTCATCTTATGGTAAGCGGTATCGAAGACCACGATCGTTGTAACGTTACATACGCATTAGAAACATCGGAAACTGATCCACAAGCAATTTTGGAAATCTAGACACCGCCGCTAAGCCGAAGTTAAGTGAAGGGTCTAGCTGGATTAGACAGCGTTCGGCTAAGTACGTCCCACATTCTTCATTCTTCATCCTTTTTCTTCATCCTTTTGTCACACATTCCGTAGTATCTTAAAACGAAACTTTTCAACCAGGGCATCCTACCGGTTATGACTTTTGCTGTCGAGATGTGGAAACTCACAATACGGATAGTCCGTTAGCTCAACGAGTCATGGAAAGAGACATACTCGGAGTTTCCCTGAAGGACAAAATCAGGAATGAGGTTACTTGAAAGAGAACTAATATAGCCGTAGAGCTGACGATCGATGAAGCAGACGGGTTCCTGAGTAGATACTGCGTAACGTCAAACGAAGGAGGACCCTGGCTAGGTGGTGCGATGACCTTCAAAAGGTGGCCAGCAAAAAATGGAATAGGAGAGCTGCAGAACAAGTTCGATGGTGTGGATTGGGGTGGGCCTATGTCTAGCAGTGGATGACAGCTGGATGATGATGCCGCCACTAGGCGTATCTGGGAAGTAATTCCAGAAATTGGTATCCTAGCTCTGCCTTTGCTCTAAGCACCAGAGCTTTTTTTTTATTACTTAGGATGCTTAGGATGGGTGGACGAGCTCACAGCCCAGCTGATGTTAAGTGGTTACTGGAGCCCATAGACATCTATAACGTAAATGCGCCACCCACCTTAAGATATAAGTTCTAAAGTCTCAGTATAGTTACAAAGGCTGCCCCACCCTTCAAACCGAAACGCATTACTGCTTCACGGCAGAAATAGGCGGGGTGGTGGTACCTACCCGTCCGAACTCACAAGAGGTCCTACCACCAGTAAAAAGTTACTCACTTAGTTTTACCAAACCGTTTTTGGAATTGATGAATGGCTGAGTTTCATTAAATTAATCACTAATTATACATTGAAATCTCGATGATTTTTAAATAATAAAAACCAGTTCTAAATACTCTCTAATGTCATGTCAAAAATATTTAGAAAAAAAGAACTACTCTATAGTTTTGTTTGCCGGAAACTATTATCAGTTATGCAGCATCCGAACAGCGCTGTGAATAATGATATAATAATTTGAAAAAGTACGAAAGCACCTAAAATAAACTAGTTTAGTCTTTATTTATTTGATAAATAACACAGAAGCCGTTTATTGTTTAGAGCATATTGAAATACTGAATATGGCTAACGACTTTGATTATGTGTACCTATTAATAGTATTACAGAAAAATGTATTAATCAAGACAGTAAATACAACGGTTTCTTCTTCTTCGGTATGTCTATGTAACTTAGCCAATTAAATCTTTGAGTATTTTTACATATTGCAGTACTAATTGCTCGAAGAACCCCAAAAATTTCTTCTCGGCTCAGCAAGTGCAAAAACAATATTATGTAACGGGCTCTTACGGGACTGCTTCGATATATCAGGGCTTTTGCAAGCGCCATGACCAGTATATTATGTGGAAAAATCGTGGTAAAAACCCAACAATTGTGCGTGTTTGTAATGTAGATAGCTGCGAAAGTTAAAACGATTTGAGTCTTTTATTTAGTAATCTTTATATTCGAAAAATACTTATGTTTTAATTTATAATAAAATCTATGTAGAATACCAAAGGAGTTTCGTAGAAAACAAATCAAAATTGCGATTATGAGTGCTAATAATGAAAAAAGGGTGCGTGTACTTATGTACGCGCGTAAGAAGCTATACTTTATTTTTATTAATATTTTTTTGTTTAAATTTTAATCAATTTGAAAAAAAATCGATTAAACAACATCCTCAAACACGCATTTTGGACATCCCTTTTCTTGGCATCGTATAAATTCGGTAATTCTCGGTACGGTTCGGAAAGTTCACCTGCAGCTATATTCAGACTCGCCAAGTTACGTCGGTCGTATTGTAATGAGCGATTTAGTGGGCAACTTCATTCTGTTAATTTTGTGTCACGGTGCGCGCGCATCGTAAAATTTCACTCTCATCAATTTTTCATAACGCGCCTAAAGAAGTATAACTTCAAAAAATACCTGACTGCCTGAGAAGGAGTTAGGAGGGTGAGTTTCTCGAGTGTATGTAAATGTTGTTATAGAATTTCTTTGGCACTAGATTAACTTCGCTGTATTACAAATGGTCTGTTTTAATACAGCGCTATGCTTCAAAAACGAGTAGGAAAATATTAGGTATTAAAATATGGGATTAAAGGGAGAAGAATTATTTACAGAAACGGCAGTAAACTATTCATCGTCAATAAATAAACTATTAGGATTTGGGAGTCTTAACGACGAAAGGAAAGATCTTCCACCGAGCGGATGATATTTGCTCGGTAGACCGACGGTCCGAATGTTGTTGTTCGGAACTTGTATATATGCGCTTTATCTTGAAAATGTCGTAAGCGAGATTCAGGCATCTGTCAATTATCTTGCGTTGTATGATGGCTACCCGCCACATCACTCCCCTCCGAGACTGGAGGTCGTGTCATTTTTAGTTAGCGTTGTCCGTGCTGAGATTAGCTTGCAAGGGCCAGTGCTGCTCGAAGCCTGCGGTGAGTCGAGGCTGAGCTTGAATGCTGCGTGCGTGTCGCCAGTGCTGCTCGAAGTCTGCGGTGAGTCGAGACTGAGCTTGAATGCTGCGTGCGTGTCGCCAGTAGTCCATGTGTGCAGAGCTGCCACGCCGGAGATGTGTGACCCCAAGCGTTGATGATCCGGTCGTGGGCTGCGATGAACTGTTGCGGCGTGATGAGGCAGTGAAGTTGCGTGCCGTAGGACCAGGAAGCGCGGTGAGTCGGCTGCGATGGTCCTGTTGAGGCTGCGATGCTGGCTTGCTGTGGGACGACTGTCAATGACGTGCTTTTATCTGCGAGAATGCGGGGATTGTGGTAGCCGGAGTTCTTGATGCGCTGAAGATGAATCAGAAGGTTGCGTGTTCACATCACGTCGCAGGTCACCAGTTTTGGGAGTCTTAACGACGAAAGGAAGATCTTCCACCGAGCTGGTGATGTTTCTCGGTAGACCGACGGTCCAAATGTTGTTGTTCGGAACTTGTATATATGCGCTTTATCTTGAAAATGTCGTAAGCGAGATTCAGGCATCTGTCAATTATCTTGCGTTGTATGATGGCTACCCGCCACAAGGACAATGGAAATTGATAATTTTTTTGTAATCAACGGAGAAGAAAAATGGGTTGAATATGCACAGGGAGTTGGATCGAAGCGATTCACTTTAAGTGCTTTTGGCCGCTACTGGTAGAAGTTACCAAAACACAAGGCCATTATACTCATATTTCTTGCCGAATCTTCTAAGCGGGTCGCAATTCCGATTAGTGGTAGATGCATTCGCAAAACACTTGCCCTTGAGCTGTTAGACCTCTTCTGGAGTCACCCAAAGAGCAGTTAGGAAATCTTTTCCTGGCTGGGACCTTAAGTTTACTTGTCTTGGTGAAGCTGGAAAGACCTTCTTAACGCAGCTAGCCTTCAACATCATAAACCATGACTTTAGTGAGAAGAGCTTCAGAGCAATTATGGATAAAAAAATCCGACCGACCCGTTTGGTATCCTGCAACAGATTTTACAACATATCTTGCCACTAGATTGATATTAATCTATAAGAACTTTGATAGCAAGTGTTAACTACTTTTACTGCTTGCTTTTATCGCCAACTAAATTTAATATAAGTCTGGACATAAAAGAGTTAAAATAATAACCGTGAAACTCAGACCGAGGGCTCATCAGCCGGCTCCCATTAAAAAACCATAATTGAACATAAAGTTAAAATGTGGTCGAATTACACAATGATTAATTATAATAAGCCTATTTGCGTGTTAATTACCCCATTCAACTTTACCCTTGTATTTTTACCGGCCATCAGCTTAATTTTATTAATCGTAACTTTATTCTTGGGGCTGCGGTAATTGTTATTTTTTGTTACGTTACGTAAAATTGTTCCTTTCGCAAGACGAGCATCTTCGATTTGTTATTTTTCTTCTTCTTGCTCTTATGCCACATTATGGTTTGGCGCAGCATGTTCTTTTATCATACTGCATAAGAATTTGGCATAAGTTTCTCAACCGGCCGTCTGCCTCACATCAACCTTCATTGGCCCATATCTCCAGTAGAATATCCATTGCAATGTACGATAGGGAAGGAATTTTCTGTTTCTTCTTTTAGTGTGTCTTTTAATTCGTCCGTTTTTGGTTCTATAACTTGCATTTCATTATCATAAGAATTGACATTAAAATTTAGATGTTCGAATACCAATATCTCATTACAAAATATTACATTTTATTCGTTTTTCTACATCCTCAATTTGTTAATTATCTTTAATCTTATGCGGGTTGCGTTTAATCAAAACAAGCAAACTATCCCGTTTGAAGTCTGAATACTTAGGCAAATATTTATACATACCGTGCAATGTCAAAATACTTTCATTAAAAATAATGGAGTATGAATATGTCCGAATAGTTTCCATCATCGTGATCATGTCTGTCCCAAAGCATAATGGGTCGAATACTAATTTCGACCATAATATATCTTCGTCTTAAGGCGGATGGCAAGGTTGATAATAATATGGTCATTACTGCCCACGGAAATCTGTACTGTGAGGTTGTCTATCGATCTGGTTCTGGTTCAGGGGACTGGTTCAATAACCTTTATTACTGTTCCTAGTTAGTATCCGAGGGACCCTAAACTCCTAACCGAGTTCATATACAGTGCAATACTTACAAATATTCACGAATACAGTTAACAAGGTGAAGT